TATTGCATTCATTGGTATTATATGAAATGCGCATAGCAAATATTTTTAATCCATCAGTCATCCTACACGCACGTGCTGTTTCTTTCTGTTCTTTCATCGAACCTTTCGTAATCCAGGCCATAGATCACGCTCGAATCTCTTATTGCTTATCAAATTTTTCGATTCCTCTTGCACATTATGTTACTATGGAGAAGTGCGTCGTTTCCTAAACAATATCACTCGAATCATTATCATCGACGGCATGAAAAGTTTGCCGCGTGGGTGATTAAATTTCGGCCGCGTGTACGAGAACCGTCTGCGTACTTTATATTTAGCTACTTCGGTTCTATACAAAGCTCTCGAAAGCAGTTGGAAGTTTTCCGACACGTCCCACGTGTTCTCGCCTTCGCCGTCTCTTCAATCTTCCACGTGGGACGCGCCCTTAATACTCCCATCTCAATCAAATAGAAAAAAAAAACGAGCTTTCCGTTTTCTTTTTTCTTTATATCAATAAAGTGAGAAGTATGGGATTTATTTTTATATTCGATATGTTTTTGAGATCTCCAAAGATAGATCGCGTAGATTTTCCAAATCTATATTGAATTCATATCGAATTATTAATAAATAACTAATGAAATTTATTAAATAATTATTTCGGAGAATTCATATTTTTCTGATTAACAAACGTCATGGTAAATAATAATGTATCTTGTATTATTAAGGTTCTTAAAACATTCAAGATTCATTAATTTCGTATTACTCCAGAAAAGAGTTGATAATTTAAGGAATCATTTGGATCGGAATGGAGGCAATGACACGATCGCACGTAACAATATGATTTCGATATGCAAACACAGCTGTGTGGCAGACGCAACATCAAATAAAAAGAATTTTTCCACGAAGGATGCTTCTACGAAGCGTCACGTGGAAGACGCGCACCCGGCGCGGCGCGACGGAAGACCCGGCGGAAGGTCGACGTTACAAGCCGTTACGTTCTCTGGCGCGAGAGTTTGCACAGATGTGCCCGGCGTGTGTTTGAACAAATGCGAACGCGAGACGGCGGAGGTACATATACGTATCCCCGGGATACGTATTCGCGAGCCTGTTGCAAAATGGCACGAGCACATAAGCTCCAAGTGCGCGCGTACGTTTGGGAAGGAGCGTCCGCAGATAGATCACCATCGTCATCCTCTAAACTGCCGGTTATCCCAGCGGGGTATCAGCGTCGTTCAATTAGCCGTCCAGAAACTGCAGATTGACCCTTTCTAGGTCAAAATTGCTCCACGTGGCATTAATCGCATCTCCGGACCTCGGGCGGTCTAATTTCGTGTTTCGATCGCGAGAAGAAAAAAACGGCACGTGTCCTCTTCATTCGAGTTTGCTCGTAGTCTCATTTCATCCGGCTGTAAACCCCGACCGCGTCTTTGTTTTTGAAAAATTTTAGAGAAAGATACATCCTGTTTTTCTGCAGATGACATAAATCGTATCAATGGCATGGCAAGCAAACGCGGTGAATCGTGAACGCGCGACCTCCTTCAACGACTTCACTTCTTTCCGAGCTGATATTTATGAATCGACCGATGATTGAGCATGTGTCTCGAGGCGGCGCCTACCGATGACCCCGAATGACCTTAAAACTCTTCCCGGCACCGTCGCGATAATTTCCTTTCCACGCGCTCGCGACCTTTCGTTTTTACGCGCGCGATAAGATTACGAAGGCGGTGAAACCTCTTTTGTATAGAGATGCATAAATTTAGCGAGACATCGTTACTTTAATTAGTGATCAATTCTACGTAATATTGTCTTCGAAATTATTTACAATTTTCATTTTATCCGGTATCGTTTAACGTAATTGTAAAAAAAACAGTTGATGATAAATTACACAAAGATCAGTCAATATCGAAAGTGCAGCATCGGCGCTCAAGATATCGTTGCATCGGTAATAAGTGAGCTCAAATAAACACTACGAGGAAGAGACTTCGTTAAACAATAATAACGATCGTCGCCAATGGCGGTGGCAGATGGCCGCTATCGAGAGCACGGCCTTGTTATCGGTACGATAACGCTTCTAAACTAACACGCGACAAGCGCGGAGACGATGCCAGGTGGCCAATAACATTATCTCGCTTGTACGAACGTGTTTCACCTCACTTGTGTTCCGTACTATTATAAATTTGTTCTCCTTTCGAATTAAAATTTGTTTGGCGACGAAAAGAGAGGCGCGGCGAGAGAGACCGTGGATATTTCGGCATTGAAACAAACTGGAATTTTGTTCCAATTAACAACCCGCGACTCGTCGCGTCGCGAGACGTCGACGCCGCCGTTGGTCCGCGTTCGCGACGAAACGGCGGACAGGAAATCTATGTTTGGCTCCAATCGGCGGGCACTTTATACCGCGCTCGCGGAGGAATTGCGTGCCTTTCCGGCGAGAGCCCTTCGGTTGGACGGTCTCCAAGATACGCGGTATCTGCGAAAGGTTTTCGGGAAAAGCGTCGCGTCGCGCCGAGGTCAGCGTGATCGCCAACCAGAAAGGAAAGACTATCCGGCCTGCAGCGATTCCGTCGCCCGTTTCGCGACGCGAAATCGCGCGATGACTCCTCTTTCTCTCTCGGAAAGGCAATAAAAGGAGAGCAACGAACAGACGAGGCTGGCGCCAGCGCCATGTGGCGACCGTGCTATACTCTTCCCGGCTTGTTTCTCTCAAGAGGAGAGGACACGAGAAAAAGGAACAGGAGAGCGGCGGAGGGAAGAAGGAAGAGAAATGGCGTTTATTAATACCGCAGGATCGAAATCCAGTGCCATTTGACCCTTAGATTTCTAATCGGAAAAACCGAGAAACTTTGCGTATTTTTCAATCATGTTTTAAGCATTGCAAACGAATATGATTTTTCTCATTTTATCTCTATATTTTCTGTTACAAGTTATTCTAATTAAAATCGGAGCGTTAGAATAACTGGGGAATTGAAGAAAAACAGCGCTAATAAAGGAATCTTGCCAAACGCCGCGGCGCGCCGGCAGTGCCGACTTCGATTTCGAGTAAATACGATGCCAGACGCCTCTTAAGGATGTTAACTGATTCCGATTCATAGTAATGATATTCGAGAGAGGAGACCGACAGTAAAGACAGAGAGGACGAACGCGAGAACGAGACGAAGCGAGATGAAAGAATCGCCGCGCCGGCTGTGGCGCCGGCGATCCGTGATCGAGAAATCCGATGCATCTGCAATGCTTAAGTCGCGCTCGATCAATTGCCGCGTCAGCGATCGTCGGCTTGTATATGAATTATTGCCTCGATCGATGATCGTCGAACCGACTGTTTGCGTTCGTTCGTTCGCTTTCGCTACCGGGTACCCCGCGCGGAAATTCGCCAAATAATTTACGTAATCGCGGGAAGAATGGCAAAAGTTTAAGATCGCGTGTGTGGCTCGTGCGCGCGGCGGTGTGGAATTTGACGTGTCTCACGGTCGGGGAAATGTGAGAAAGGTCATGAAATCGCGGCCCCCGCCGCTCTAACGCCGGATAAAATTACGCATCGTCGTGTTTGCATACGCATTTGTTACACAAACAAGACCGCGGTTACGTCAGCTGCTTTGATAATTCGCGCGTTGTATACAGTTTTGCGATTCTTGACTCTTGACTCGTGCGTGTTTCGCTTTGCGAAACGCGTGTTGCTTCGATTTTTCCAAGGATCGCTGGATGTTTATAAAAAATATATATATACATACAGTCGCGTTGTTATTTCCGAGGAAAGCAAGAAGAAGCTTTAAATCTGATCGTGGCTCTACAGTCTCTACAATCGTGAAATCGTAAAGTGCGCGATAAGAAAATCGTATAGAAGTACGCGGAATCACAATTCTGGCACTCTCCGAGATGCATCAGATGCTGAAAACGCTACGAGGTGAAACTGCTCGCGTAAGTCGCGCGATGACAAGCGTCTTCGCCGGCGATACTAAAATCAGCGAAATTAGTCTCCGCCTTGGAATCCGAGTCGGCTCCCGGTCGGCGATGCGGACGGGAGGAGAGGAGCAAAGAGACGCGGCGCACGAGTATATTATAATCCTCTCTCGCTCTCGGGTCCCTGTGTGCGCGCCAGATGGTACCAGCTGGATGACGCATCAAAGCAGAAAACCTCCCGCGTGTCCGAAGCGCGGTTCCGCCCACGGAATCGCGAGCGGGAAACACGTGCGCCTCCGCCGCTGCCGCCGCCACCGCCGCCGCCGTCGCCGTCGCGCGTTATCCTCCGTCACGTTGCGAATACAGTCTCGTAATGCGAGAATTCGGTAGAATCTCGTGATACGCGCACTCGCGTTATCAAAGAATGTTATTTATGTACATGTTGTCCGCACGTGGCGCCGCATTAAATTTCAATGACGAATTCGTCGAGCGATTTATCTTATATTAATCGCAATCTAATAATTGATTACCCCGATGAACAGCGATGCAGTTTCTGTAACATTTTCTGCATAATAGAGGTGAGGTGGGCATAAACCGAAATTTTATTAGAGCTCCTCGTATTGTATATGTCTCACATTTTAAAGTATTATAGTAAATACATGTATACAATAATCCCAAGATAGAAAAATTCTGATTATATTTTTAAATTCGGCGTATAAAAAGGAATGACAAATTAAAGTATATGACTTAATTAATTATTTATTTATTTCTGTTGTCGTTTATTTATTTTCTATAGATCTATTCGTATTGCTTGTATTTTTTGCTCTCAAAGTTTCACACACACACATACACATCCAATTATCTCATTGTAAAGGTACGATTTTATGCTGATGCTCGATGCTCATTTTTAGCGTCAAAACAGATCACATGATCAAAATTGATATTAAGTATTAGTCAATTTTGATCATGTGACCTGTTTTGATGCTGAAAATGAGCGTCGAGCGTCAGCATGAAAAGGTACCTTACGTGCAATCGTTTTTGAGAACTTCGAACACTCGTACAAATCTATTGTTAACTATAGTGCGGAATCCGTAACTAACGCGCACTCTCCTTTTTTTCGTTTACAGCCGGTGTCATGGCGGGCTCTGAGAGGGACAGCGGTTCTTGCAGCAGTGCCGACGAGGACAGTAGATCGAGCCTGCATTCGCCTACTTCGTCTGAGGACAGTGTTGAAGTGCAGGTGACACCGATTTCATTACGAAATAAGCGTAAGCTGGCGGAGCCACGGAAGATTCAAGAACCGGCAGTCATCGCGGCGCCGTTGAAGAAAAGACGGTTCGATCCTATTTCCGAGGAGACAACCGTGGATCAAGAGGAGCCCAGGTCGTTGAACACGCCGAATCCCTTCAGACCGTGGATTCCTGCCTCCTACAAAAACGAATCGAAGACAACCGCGACTTCGTCGACGACGACATCGACGAATACGATTTCCAACACGATAACAACAACAACCACGACGACGACGACGACAACGACACTGACCGGCGAAAAAGAGGACGAAGAGGAAGAAAGGAAAAGAGAGCAAGACGAGACGACGCAGAGGCTGCACGAATCGTTCAGAAGACTACAACATCCTACCGGTCATAATCGATCGCCTGTCTCCTCTCGACGGGAGCCTCGTCAGAGGTTGTTCGAGCCAGCACCAACGACGACAGCAGCAGCAGCAGCAGCAGCAACGACAACGTCTCCGTCGAACATGATCCCTCTACCGCATCCTAGGCTGCAGGACGAACCGTTGTCCTTGGTTGTGAGAAACGAGGCGCTCAGAGTGCCGTCGCATCCCGCTGTAAGTGGCTCCTACGAGAAGACGCCGTCGTACATGATGGAACACCTGTTGGCGACTTCGTCCGGCCGGAGTCAAAATCATCAGACTCACCAGAGTCCACGGAGTCACCAGAGTCACCAAGCGGCCGCCACGACGTCGAGACACCAGCATCAGGGTGGTCAGCAGAGAAATTATAAGAACATGACGAGAGAGAGACGGATAGAGGCGAACGCCCGAGAGAGAACCAGGGTGCATACCATCAGCGCGGCCTTCGACACATTGAGACACGCCATACCCGCGTATTCGCACAACCAGAAGCTGTCGAAGCTATCGGTACTGAGGATTGCCTGTAGCTACATCATGACGCTCAGCAAGATCCTCGGGAAGGACGGTGAAATGACGGCCGCAAAAAACAATAGCCTCGCAGGCTTGAGCAGCTGCGTGGAGCAAGTCTCCAGGACCATTCAGACGGAGGGCAAGCTAAGAAAGCGGAAAGACGATTGAACGAATCGTCGTTTCCACCTGGAAACAACGGGAACAGGCTGAAAATGACGGACAATAAAGTCTGTTACAACGAAAACAAGCGGGAGATGTTCCGCATTGTCAAACGCTTAAACGTCTTCTATTCTCGATGCCATTTAATTTGCGGAGGAGAGGAGGACGACCTAGGATTAAGTAAGCAACCGTTAATCTAAGCAGCTGATTATCGTCGGATTTCTACTCTGCGCGTGTTAATTCGTGAACTATAGGAATACGTTAATCGGAGTCGCGAAGGAACGGGGGCGACGGAAGGATATTCGAAAGAAGTGACGATAAGATCACAATTGAATCGAGTCTTGTTCGCAGAAAATGTTATAGGATAACTATTTGTCGTTTTACAAAAATTGTATAGGTATTATACGCTTTTTGAAATCATAATAAGCTTCAAATTAACAGACTTTATACTTTATTCAGCAGAGAATTTTTCGCGGCGTCCTCACAATGGGAATGTCTATCATCTACATACCGATACTTAGCAGTTGCACAACCAGACAATAAATCTTTAGAAAGATTCTCATACTTGTAAGATCACGCTTAATTTACGACAGACACCGCTGCAGACGTTGCACCGCATCACGAAATTTACGGTAGAGAGCGGCGAACATTTACGTAGGATTTGACAATTCATAATAGAAGCTAGTCTCGAAGCTATCTTGATACCCTTTCAAAATGGTACCGGCTATTACATCTAATTTGCTAATCCCCATACATCTGTATTTTTATCTCAAAGCATGAAAAATTCTACAATTCTTAAACTCTCTTGTAAAGTGTGAATTAAAATTTATGCAAATTTAATTAGTACACGCAGTTTGTAAAAATGTAATTTAAATTAAACTTCAACTAAAAAAAATCATTTTTTAAGTAGGATTAAGTTTAATTTAATTTAAGAGAGAGTTTAATTTAAAAATTTAATAAGATTATATCTTTTAAAATTTACATTTTCCCCGATTTATTATTATTCTCAGAAAACTACATTTGTATCATGAAAAATCATATTTTCCATTTATATTTTTATTAGTAAAAATATAAAATCGATTTTCTTGGTTTTTCAATTTTTAAATCCAGGTTTCATGAAAAAAAAGTCAATTTTAACGAAACATCACAATTTTCTTAATTTCCATTTCTATATGATGACAGCTTTATAAAGAGCAGTTATAATAAACGATGTAGTTTTCTGGCTGGCTCTTATTCTTCGGAAGTTCTATGGAAATATTCTTTGATACGTTGCCTTTTGAAGGGGTTAAACGCGAAGCACATGAATGCGCCTTACCTCGACCGAGCGGATTCGCCTTAGAGCGACGATTTTCAAGCTACGGTCCATTGAGATGCACTTATTTCAACGAAAGGACAAAAGGATCAATCGGTCGTCTGTAATCTATTGTATCAGCTTACGACATACCAGTGTCTTAGGACATACGCGAAAATGTAATTAAAAGAGGGACGACAATAATAATATTGCTTGTGGTAATATTCTTGATAAGGCGATAAACGTTACGCGTTTACAAAACGACGAAACTACAATCGTCTTCCTATAGAAATGTACGATAGTCAAGTAAAACACGCGTAACAATCGAAGTGTCATCGCTATAACTAGATGGGATCTGCTAGAATTATATCATTTTCGTGAAGATTACTACTTTTCAATCTTTAGGACTCATTATTGATGAACAAAAACAGAATATAAATGACATGAATGTTATTGATTAAAAAAAAAATTGGTTTTAATATACATATTAAAATTGAATATTATAATAGCGTTCCATTAAAAAAAAATACGCAAAATCATTTTGATTCCGAGATATATGTTGAAGCGTTAATAAAAAAAATCATTGCGCAGTATGCTTAAAAAATATTTCGATCGTCATTATATTGTGGCAAGAAGAGGACGTTCCTGATCCTGAGACAATTAAAATTAAAAGAATGATCGAGAGAAGCTGACGTATGCTCATACACAGTCTTTTCGCGCGGTTCCGTCGACTGCGTCTCGAATTTTTGTAAATAGCGTAGTGTAACGACGTTACGACTAACGATTTATGCCGAAGCGAGTGTACAGTAATCAAATGTGTTACGCGGTGCGAGAAAGGAGCGCATTTGCACGTTGGCCTTACGCGACGATCTGATGCGATATCCGATATGTACCTTTCTATGTTATAAGGTAAAAAAAACAAAGTTCAAATGAAAGTGAAATTTGACAACGAAAATCGTGTCTTTTTTTTAATACAATATACCCTTTTCTTCCTTCATTCGTTCCACCATCATGATCTCCCTACTATATTTTCCTGAAATAAATGTTACTCCCTATTTGCGAATTCCGTTCGTCATAAATAAAAATAATTAGCTTAAATGCGAAGTTATCAAAAAATCTGTTACAATCGTTACCGCATCTTAATCGAACAAGTCCGAAAACCGTTGCGTTTAGCGCAGACGACAATGACGAGGACCTATATCGTCTCGCGAATGCAAATGTCAAACAAAAATAAAATCTGATAGTAGATTCAAACTCAGCGGGCGTTGCTCGGCGTACGTGCATAACCAGTTACAGCTAGATTTCGCGAGTTTCCTAAGCGACCGAGACAGAATCGCGACTGTTATCGCGGCACCGAGGTAAAAGTGGATCTAACAGCGGTTCGTAAAAACGGATACAACACACGCACACGTGCGAACGCGGAATGTATTCAGGTGTAACAACGATGAACATATCGTCGCGGCGCGACGATATAGGGAGGAGGGGAGGAGAGGGATGTTCTCCAAACGAGCATGCACATCTGGTCCACAAAAGATAACGATATCGGCCAGCAATCCAATTGTGTTACCTGCCACTGCACGATATACACACTGCACACGACGAGCACGCTCGGTATCGTATGTAATCGCGAAACCGCGACAGTTTTGCGAGTCATAACATTCTATAAATTACGAGATGCTTCTATCTAATTTTCTATCTGATCTCAAAATGTTTTATGTCCTTTCGGTTTTCTTTCGGCGCTTCAAGGAAATTTTGAAAAATTATTAAGTACGGATCCAAATAGAGCTCTATACTTTACGAGATTACGTAAATGCAGATAGATTTTCTGTTGCAAGGAGATGAACTCGAGGGGTTAAAATACGAAAAGGAATTTTATCTTCTGCGTGTACACAGTTTTTGCGCTGTAATTATCTCCAATTTTATTTAATCATCCTTTTGTAATTCGTTGTAATCGCCGGATTATTAGCGAGTGATCGGCGCGGTCGGACCTGTATCGGACTTGTATCCGGTTCGGCAGCTGTTTAGCATAAGGGCAAATTGCTTAAGAAAATAATGATTCTCTGCGCTGCCGTCGCCTCCCGCCCGTCTTTTGCGACCCGCGCCTCCTTCCACCAGTATCCGGAGATAGTGGGCAGGTGGCGATGACGCTCTCGCGTTCGGCCCGTTCGGCTACCTGCCTCGAAAACGAGCGCGCCGCGCGGTTTTACCCGCCGCGCAACGCGCCACGGGCGGCAGCATCACATGCGCATGTAACACACGTGTGCACGTTCGCCGTCGGTCGGGATTGCACGTGTAACATGGGCGTTAAGGGAGTAACACCGGGGAAGAGTTGACGCGGAGGCTGCAGGGAACAGGCAGGGGCGGGACGAAGATCCCCGTAAGAAAGATGCGTGCGCAACGAGATATGCGATGAGGAATATACGGAGCAAGAAGCAACCGGATATGCAAATATTTAAATGATCGTACTTATTATTTGCGCGCGTGGATGAATTTGGATCCTCGAAAGTGTTCGTAGTGTTCGTAGAACTTAACTGCGATGCACCGAATACTCAGAATACTCGGATTCTGTTCTACTGTCACACTTGAACATCAAGTTAATTGATCCCAATGACAGCTAATAAATTAAAGATTATTATTTAATTAAATAAAAACCAGATTGCGTTTTGTTCTAGTTGATCTCGTGCCTGTCGTGAACTGCTCCAAACTTGGGAAGCTCTAATTGATCTGACTGAAGTGAAAACGTGCCGCATCAAATCAATTATGGATGTCGAATAGCGTTCCTTGTGGTCAAAAGGAGAAAACGCAATAGAACAAGAACAAACATTAAAAAAAAAACACGATTTGAAAAAGCGATGAATTGCTGCGACAACCTCGATTAGTTAATTACAGGGATGTGGTACCATTACATATGAAAATAAATAAATGGGAAGGATACATGAAACATGTTCCTTGTAGCCCCGCACTAGATAACAGCCTCGTCTATAGTGCAAGCGAGAGAGGCAAATCGATTTAAGCGTTAATCGATTTTGACGCCAGCAGAGCCAGCGAGAGAGGTACTATTTATGGTTTCCACTTGACTTCCATTTGCAATTAGAGCATCTCTATGTGCGATTTGCGGATGGCAGTTTCGTTGCCTGCAGATGAAGCGAAAGAATGCCGACCGGGCGAGCGAGCAGGTGCTCGAAACACAACCTCGCGATACGGGCTCTCCTCTCTTCTCTTTCAATCCTCTCTCACGAACGTTCCTTACGTTTCTCGCAACCTTCTTAGAATATCGTTCTCAAGCGTATCTGCTTCATGCATCTTTTTGTTAGACATTTTGAGTTCGCGAACAAAATAATAGAAGAAAATCGATACGTTTCAACGGCTTAAATATCCTGTTTGAGAAATTAAAAAAAAATGGAAAGAATGCCATTTTTGACAAACGTAAAAAAATCGATAATCTTTTGCTACATGACGCACGATCGCTTTGAAATTCGAGAAATAAAATAGCGCGCATATTCAACCGATAGGCATTTAAAAGTACCTCCTTTTTCATTCTTTTTTTTATCTATAATCTATATATGTCTTACACAAAAATTGTGAAGAAAGATTCTAAAATTTATAAATAATTAAAAATGAAAAATCTCAAGTGGCAGCTATATAATTTGTCGTATAACCAGTACTACTATCGTCGCTGCGGAAGATGAAGATCCACGCAATTTTGCGGAAGCGTAGCAACAATGAGAACCGCAAGCTACATGCGTGCACGCAGCGCGAGGCTGATTATGCGTTTGCTGCACAAGGACACGCGATCCCGACTCCACGCCTCTTATTTTCGTGAGGGCCCGAAAAGCCGAACCAACCGTGGGTACGCACCTGCTAAGAGGCAGGCGCAGGTGCATTTATCCACCTTCATAAGCATTACTTAATTTTCGACGGTTACACACATAGCGCGCCAGTATAGTAATTGGGCTCAGTGCGTACTTGACTCCGAAAAAGGGATAAAAGGGCGCACGGACGCTTCAACGGTATTATACTCGACTTTATGTCACCATGCAGCAGGCGTTCCGTCGGTTTCTCGGTTTCTTTATCGTTCATACATTTTATTTAATTTGACGCGAAATGACTAAAACACTTAATATTGAAAATCGTAAAATGATGAAAGAACGTAATAGCCAATAATAATTGCCGTTTCTCTTATAAAAGAAAAAGAGGAACCACATCCTGGGTGATCGTGCTTGCCTTGATGTTATAGATGTTCCACTCCTCTCTCTCTCTCTCTCTCTCTCTCTCTCTCTCTCTCTCTCCTTATTTTCTCTCTTCTTATTCTTTTCTCTTTTTCCTTCTTTCTCTTTCACTCTCTTTTTCACGTTGTAATTAGTATATTAATTATACTAGTTTTAATTTAACTCATTTTTAATTATAGCCGCATAAATTAAATTATTAACATACATTTCTTGATATGTGAATTAAATAATTTACTTAGTTAGGAAAAACGAAGATAAAAATTTTACTGCAAAGGAATTAGAGAATACCGTTTGCATCGCGGATACAGTTCAATTAAAAGTAACATCCGCAACCTTTTTAATGTTCGTTCGGTACGCTGACAATTAATC